GTTTTATTAGGCTGCGCCTTAGTTTCATTCATTAAAAAAATACAATGAGCAATTACCGGTAAATTTTCACTCTAAATGTTTGAACAAATTGTGAACACCTCTTACATCCATCAAATACTAGTATTAGTGACTTGGCACCTTCTCTGAAAATATATTTGTCCATTTTGGACAGTTCTAGTTAAATATTTACATATTCAATAAAATATACAGTCTATGTAAAACAGATACTCTTAAATGCTGTCTCACAAATCAGATTCTTACCGTGCAAGTGCTATGGAATTAATTTTGGCAGAACAACAGACTTTACAGTTTAATCAAATATTAGAAATCATTTTAGAATTAGTAATTATATAAATGTACCTTAATCAGAGAGAAGTTTTGTGTCTGTCATTGTCAAAATTCTTAGTAAATAAACCCTCTCTGGTCAAAGATTGGACAAAAAATGACCAGAACAAATACCAACTTTTGGAGGAAAACTTACCACACCAATAAAACACAACCTTACAGAGTCCAAAACAATGAATACATCAAACCAAAGACTGCAGACCAGAAACTTCATAACACCCAAGTCAATGAGTGAGTCCAGGTACTGCCTGTTCTACTTTGGTGATCATTAAGGCTAAAATAGCAGAAAATTAATTTATAATTTGAAAAATATGAAATAGGCCTATATATTTATTAAATAATTTAATAATACTATAACACTAAGAAAAATATATTATCATTGACAAACAAGCTGCATACAACACAAAATTTCCTTATGTCAACAATTTTAGTCATGTGTCTCCTTTGGAACAATACATGTAGGGCTTAATAACCCTTGCATCCAGGTCCTTTAAAAGGACCCTGTCCCAATTGAAATTTACTATTTTTTCCCACAATTTAGGTAAAAATTCCCAAATGACAAGCAGATTGAATTTTTCAGTGCTTTTAATATTTAAAAGAAAAATTTAAGAACTCGTACGGATATAAGTAGTGTGTAAACCTTCAATCTAAGTCCTTGTTTAAAGAGAAAAAAAAACTTAACATAAAACATTTATCTTTCCAAATTTTGCCCTTTTTCTGATCAAAATTTGTTCATTGTCTGTCGTCGTGGTCGTCGGCGTTGTTGTAGTTGTCATTGTCGTAAACTTTTCACATTTTCATCTTCTCAAGAACCACTGGATCAATTTCAACCAAACTTTCCACAAAGTATCCTTGGGTAAAAGGGATTCAAGTTTGTTCAAATGAAGGCCCACACCTTCTTCCAAGGGGAGATAATTATGAATTCATGAAAAATTAATGGCATCATTTAAAAATCTTCTTCTCAAGAACCACTGTGCTTGAAAATATAAAATATATGGAAGCATCATCAGGTAGGTTAGATTCAAGTTTGTTCCAATCATGACCCCTGGGGATAGGGTGGGGCCACAATGGGCGATCAAAGTTTTTTTATAGGAATACATAGGAAAAATCTTTATAAATCTTCTTCTCAAGAACAGCAAAGCCATGATTGGTCATATTTATATGGAGGCATCATCAAGTAGTGTAGATTCAAGTTTGTTCAAATCATGACCCCGGGGGTAGGGTGGGGCCACAATGGGTGATCAAAGTTTTACATAGGAATATATAGGGAACATCTTTAAAAATCTTCTTCTCAAGAACAGAAAAGCCATGATTGGTCATATTTATATTGAAGCATCCTCAGGTAGTGTAGATTCAAGTTTGTTCGAATCATGACCCCGGGGGTAGGGTGGGGCCACAATGGGTGATCAAAGTTTTACATAGTAATACATAGAAAAATCTTTAAAAATCTTCTTCTTAAGAACAGCAAAGCCATGATTGGTCATATTTATATGGAAACATCCTCAGGTAGCGTAGATTCAAGTTTGTTCAAATTATGATCCCCGGGGTAGGTTATGGCCACAATGGGTGATCAAAGTTTTACATAGGAAAACAGGAAAAATCTTTAAAAATCTTCTTCTCAAGAGCAGCAAAGCAATGATTAGTCATATTTAAATTGAAGCATCATCAGGTAATGTAGATTCAAATTTGTTCAAAACATGACCCCCCCAGGAGAATAGAGTGGCCATAACAGGGGATCATAGTTATACAAAGGAATACTAAGGATATATCAATCAAAATTTTCTTCTTAAGAACAGCAAAGCCATTATTTGTCATATTAATTCAAAAGCATCCCTATGAAGTATATATTCAAGTTAGTTCAAATTAACCCCCCCCTCCTCCTGAACCAGTTTTATATTTAAACTTTTCAAGACTGAACTGAGTTCTGCTTTTTCCTAGCCAGAGTGCTCAGATGAGCGATGTGGCCCCTTGGCCTCTTGTTTCAATTTGAAATAAATTTAAGATAAAAAAGTTTCCCAGACTACAAATATCTGAAAACTGTAGAAAAAGATTCATGGATTTGCAGATTTATGGGAAAATGAAGAGGGGGGGGGGGTATGGGGGGGGGGGTCTCCCACTGTTTCTGAGTATAGTATTTTAGTTTAAGCATCATTTTAATCATGATATACATAGAAATACATGTATATAGAATGAACATGACTTGAACAGCAGGCAAAAGTGGCCTATATTAGTTCTCTCCATTAGATATCAAGGTACAAATGTAAAAAAAGTTATTTATTTGTCATGTTTGTAGTTTTACGATGACGTGTAATTTAAACTAATTTTTAAGGAGATTACAGGGTACAAAATTGAAAAAAAAGAGGGGAAATGAACAATAAAATTAAAAAATGAAAATGAAATGCGTAGTTTTTTATAAAACCAAATGAGATTTGTGGATGTGATTTATTTGACCAAGTGAAACTAACATTTACAGTTTAATTAGGGTTAAAATCCACCATCCATTGTCTGGACCATTTTTATATTTTTTTCCAAGTCATTTTTTAATGAGGGGATAGGGGCTAGTGTATCAGAGTCTACAATAACAAAGAAGTATCATCTGCAAATAAGCAAATTTGATTTTCTAAATTTACAATTATGTCATTGATATATACCAAGAAAAGAAATGGACCTAATACAGAACCTTGTGGAACACCTGCATTTATTCTTTCTCTAACTCAGAGGAGTATCCTTCTAATAAAACTTGTTGTTCACCATCAGTAAGATAATTTTTAATCCAGTGCAATATATTTCCTACTATTCCATTTTGCATAAACTTATATAATAATCCCTTATGCCAGAACTTGTCGCATGCCTTTGATATACATGTATCACAGAAAACAAATCTAGCATCTTTGCCATGGTCTAAACTGCTTATTAATATAATAGTATTGTATATCTCTAGAAGCTGATAACAGTGGAGTCTCCATGTTGGAATCAAGACTGATTTTTGGATAGAAGATTATGCTATAGCATAGTTGTGAAGATATTTGAATATGATTTTTTTCCCATAATCTTGCACAGGATACTTGTTAAAGCAATTGGTCTGTAGTTTCCTGGCTCTTCAGTACTACCTTTATTTTTTATACATATTTTCTTTTATAAACTGGTGTAATATTTGATAGTTTCCATCTATGGGGATGTTGTTTACTGGTTAATGATGCATTAAACAATTTTGCTAGGGGTGCAGTAATTGACGGAATTATATTTTTTGTTGAAAAATATCATCAGGTCTTGGGGGTTTAGATGAGTTGATGTTCTTTAATTGACCCTTCACATCTTGGGGTGTGATATGAATTGTATTTATTGAATATGGTGGACCTGGCCCTTGAAGGGGGGGGGGGGGGGTACTAAGGGTTCAGTGCTAACATCAATATGTGATATTTCTGCAAAGTATTTATTACGTATATTAGCTTTATCAATAAGGTGTATAAAAATTCTACCATAGGATTTCATTTGTAGTATATACAATTTATAATATATAATTATGTAGTATTTTCCTATTAAGAGTATATTTTCTTTTAGATGCCCTTTCCCCACTATTTGTTGTTACTGTAAGGTCGAGCAATGGCAAATTCAAGGATTTGGACAGTTAATTAGTTTAATTTATATTTGCTTGTCATATTATTTTAGGAAGGTGCCCCCCTTCCCCCGTTTTGTTTTCTTTTTTGTAACGCAAAATTAATTGTATAGAGTGATGTTATATATGAACCCGTGATACGGGCGCATCATACGCTGCGGCGGTGCTCTTTATTGTAAAATTTAATGCATTTTCCGATAGTTTTATTGCTCCTTTTCATGAGGCTTTAATAGCCTTAAACGTCTATGATCACCCAGCCCTTCTAATTGATGAAACTGGTTATAGAGATTAAATTTTTTTTTTTCGATTGCTCATTTATTGTAACCTTCAGCTACCGGGTAGTCAAATCAGAGACATTAATAACATATTAGTTCTCTCGTCAAATTACATGTATGTTTAGAATAGAATTATTGAATTATACTCATTGCTTTTGTTATATTTGCACTTTTTAAAGAAAGTTCGGGCATATTATTGTTACCCTCTTTTATTTCAAGCAGTAACCAATTATTTTTTTTTGGTTTATGACAGGTGGTGTCCTGTATATGTGCAATAAAGTTTTGAAATTCTAAATAATACTCCAGGGGCAAAAAGGGGCTAAAAAAAAATGATTTTTTTTAAGAATCTGGTTCTCAGAACTCCTATTATATTTTACGCAGTTGCCTAATCATCTTTTGAAAGATGATTGGTGGTGTCCTATAGATGTCCAATAAAGTTTTGGAATTTTCATTTTCCTCTTGGGGAGTCAAATTGGGGTCGAAAATGATGTTTTTTAATACAAAAAGTCCTGATTCCAAGAACTCCCCTTACATTTTACTTAGTAGCTAATCATCTTTTTGGAAGATGATTGGTGGTGTCCTGTTGATGGGGAATAAGGTTTCGGAATTTTTATTTTCACCCTGGGGTCAAATGGTGGTCGAAAAAAACGACGTTTTTTATACAAAAATACCCTGGTTGCAAAAATGATTTTTAACAAAAGAAAATGGTGAAATATGAAAAAAATAATTTTTAAACTATTTATTATTTTTTTTTATTATTTCAGGACACCAAGACATCTTGAGAAAAACCCAGTGTAGCTGAGTATTTTTTTAGATATTGTTGAAGACGAAATAATGGTAATTTCTTCATTTTTCGAATGGATGCTTAATCTGAAAATAAATGAAAGGTTTAAGAACCGAAAAAAGTTAAAAGAAAACTGACAAACATTCAACAAGGATTGAAATATATATCATCCTTCCTCCTCTCTACTTCTAGTTGGCTTCCAATTGAAAGAATTGTAATGAATATATGAAAAAAAAATAATTGTCCCTAATAAAAACCCGCTTCTTTCATATTTACATCTGTCAGTGAAAACGAAGACTTTTTGTTGATTTTTTTTTCATCAAGACATCCTCTTTACCATGTTTACCTAAAGAGAAATGATGATTGTTTAAAGAAATCCGTATAAGAAGAGTTGGCGCAAATTGGTCTTATTTTTACTTACAAGATGAAGAAAATAATTACCTGACACAAAATAGTATAGTAAATTATAGTTTAGTAAACTATAGAATTGGCTTTAATACTTGATTTGCTATACTGATATCTTTAAAAAACAAAAAAAAAAAAAAAAACTGGATTTATTATAGTGATCAGTATGACACTCTAAAGATCACTTTGAAACGAAAGTGATAATTATGAAAACTTCGATATAGTTTTGTGATAACTTTGACACTTTAATTTACCACCGATCACATGTATTTAAGAACCAACGATCGAAGGGTGTATTGGATACAACCCGGGGTTAATCACAGAACACCCTCGATTGGATCTGGATAAAGAATTTATTTCATATGTCACCAAATAAACTCGAGCTCATTACCCACGTCTAATTTGTTGTATTATGAGTATCAAACTGTTGATAAGATTTACTACGTTGTATAATCATTGTGACGACATGTCGTGTTATATGTTGTTTGTGCTGTTAAGAGAAATTATTCATTGTGACGTCATGTAATTTACTTAAGGTTTGAGCAAGGTGTACGGAATTTGCACCCGGTTAACTTACCAGTCTTTCGTGGTAAGCGATATATAATAAACCCTATAAAGTTCTGCGGAATTTTACGTTTCAAAAAGGAAATATGTTGTGCTGCACACGTCGAATAAATGACTGACTCATACAAATACATGTACCAATAATTAATACTAATATTCTGATCATCTCACTTGTATTACAATGTGTATCATTTTCTTTGTTTTGAATCCATTGAAAAGAAGTTTTGATAATTAATTATGGGGAATTTTAGTTTAATTTATTATATTAATTTAAGGGAACATCTTCATCTAGACCTACAAATACAACTGGAACTTCATCTACAGCTGGAACCTCGTCTACAGATAAAAATTATTCTACAGCTCGAACTGAATCTACATCAGTTGACAGCTTCTATTCTAAATATAGCTCTGAGCCAAAGACCAGTAAGTATATATGACGCAATTACTCAAATTTTAGGTTTTAAAGTTTGGTACTTTTGTTTTGAAGGAAGCGAAGTCGAGTTTAAGATGGACATATTTATGTAAAAAGCAATCCTTATCATCCACATGAGAAGCCCATGATTCTTTTTATAGGGTTCAACATTAAAAATATATAGGAAAACAACCTATATATGAGCGGCAAATAGGTCTTCCGTAGCATTTTAATGACTGAAGTATAAGCTTGGAAACTGCCTACAGAAATGATAATTGTAATATTTGTATGATACAAAGACTTCCTGTTCTCTAGCTTGAAGAGACACCATTTTTGTCAATTATCAATAGAAAAGTTTATGAAAAGTCATGACCTGTGCTATAAATATAAGGAACTGTATTTTCCGGCGTGAGGTCAGGTAAAGGGACAAGGGCTACTTACATAAACTTAGATATTCTTAAATCTTAAAGAAGAATGATGGGTAGAGCAGTGTTCGTTGCTGGATCAAGGTTTCCGTTCGATTCGATGATGAAAATAAACGGTGCAACTAACGAGTGCTTTTATTGTTTTTTTTTTTTAATTTTGCTCGTTTAACTTCCTTTCAAGATTTTTTCACTCATTTTGAGACGCCACCAGTTGCTATTTTAGTCCTGTACTCGGTACTTAGAGCCATTGAGCCGTGAGGGAATTTTTCTGTATGCAAAAACCTACTGCGACACCTGACCCCGGTTTAAACGGTCTCGTCCGAAGTACTCCACGTCCCGTAGAGAGATTCGAACCTAAGAATCAACTCTTTACTCCGCGACCCCTGTGCAAACGCTCTAAACATTGCTCCACGTAAAGAGATTAAAAAAGAATCAGCTAAATAGCCTTTTTGGGGAAAAAGAATGCCACGTATATATTAAGCATATATCTATGAAAAACTACTACAACAAGTCTCGAATCGATTTAATATGGACTTCTTCAGGGACATAAATCATTCTTGGATTCATTCATGTCAATATCTGCAAAATAAACGATAAATGAGTGTTCTGATTTGAATTGAGATCATAGCCGAAATATCGGACATCTTCATTTACCTCACTCGCACGGTTTTACATGGATGTCTGGGGAAAACTTTTGGCCCGGAAGTGACATCATTCAACGAATAAAGATATTGGACATCTTCATACAAGCACTGAGGTACCGTTCAAAGTATGAACAAGTTAGAATTTTTTTTTACATGCTTTATTCCGAGCCCTGATGGGTGCAGATGTATGGCACATCCGGTGAAAAAACTACACACTCACATTTACAAAATTACCTCTATCGTCTTTACGGAATTTTTTGTTTCTGTCAACAAAAGTTTTGGAGGAAACCTGTGAACAAAAAACATACTTTAAACGCAAGAAAGTCAAAGTTAATTTCAGTCACGACGTAATGAAATAAAGCAAAAAGAAGTTAATATTGCACAAATCCTGAAAGTTTCATAGAATTCAATCCCTCCGTTTTCGAGAAATCGCGTGCAATAAAGGAGAGGATAAAGTAATTAAAAGAAATATACAAAAATCGAGAGGATGTTCCCGAGACCACGAAAGACCCTAAAATATTCATAGTTTGTGTGTTATGGATGGTTAATATTAGGACTATGGTCCCTTAAAAATTAATTTTAACATAATTTTGTATATGTAAATCTTTTTTAACAGTTTTGCCTAAATAATGCATGAAAAAATCATTTGTGAGATATCTAGGAAAAAAAAGTGCCATAAAGATCTTATTTGAAAGATTTGTCGGTTTTTCTTGATATCTCATTTTTTCACAGCATTGTAGTTATGAAGTATTATAAAATGGTCATTTTCTTCTAGATATTTTAATATTCGTGTTCTCTGGGCTGGTCCTATAACTCTTTACAGAAGAACGTAAAAGTACCTACAATTTATTTCATTTAATTTTAATTGCATTAGTTAGATTTGTTTTAAATACTTGTTTAGTCTAATATAATCTTTTATAAATTTAGGACAGAAAGAAGTGCAAATATTACACGTACTTTGAGCATGGAATTTTGGGAAGAAAAACGTAAAGTTTCGGTTAAAGAAGAAACAAAATATAAAATTATTAATAGATTAATTGATTGTTGTTAACGTCCCATTTGAGGATTTTTCTCTCATATAAAGATGTTACGATAAAGCGGTGAAGCGCTTCAACTTTTTTACATAGCAAGCAGGGCCACATATCAATGAAGGATCCTTATCGTACCTACGCCTAACTTTCCAGACACGGGACCACGGCTTTTAAGGTCTCATCCGAAAGACCCGCAACTTTCTTTCTTAGGTTTCCCAGCCCTTGGAAAAGGAATAGTTGCTACCTATTTTTGTCGACTTTGGTCTATCGTGTCAGGACTTAAACTACGACCTTACAAACACGGAAAAAGCGCTCTACCTGTTGAGCTTCCTTGTTTGTAACATGGAAACTAGTCATTGGATGATATCTTGTAAACCGAGGTTCAGTGTCGCAGTAGGTGCGGTAAAAAAAAAGATTTTTCATTGCTCAAATGTAATAAATTTCGGGTATAGGTCTAAATTTGCAGCCCTCCACCAGAAAGTGGTGGAGTCGCAATATGAATGAAGCATTCTCGAAGAGTCTTAAAACAAACAAACAAAACCCTGATGGTAAGAAAAAGGAGAAGAGGATATCAAAAACCAATGTAAAATTTGTTTTACTTTTTAAAAATTAAATTACAATTTAATGTATTATGCATAACATTTTTTTCCATATGGATCGCATTTTGGCATAATCTTCTGCACAAACTTTTTAGTTAGAAGTGAAGGAAATTTGGAGGTAATGAAATGTATTTCAATAATATATGAGGGTTATTGCTGAATTTATATGGACATATATATGTATGAACAATTCTGTCTTTAAATTGAAATGTCTTTGTATCTAAAATTTTAAAGTTGTGGGTTAAGTTAACTCCCTAACAAAATATCACTATAGTTAAATATAGTTTACGATAGTTAACCATAGTTAACTATAGTAAAAACTTTCATACTTTGATTTACTATGAAACTTTACTCGGGAACTTTTTTTCAGATCTCAAAGATAAAAATCTATTAAATTCGTTAACAGTGATGTAAAATTTGGAAATAAAATGTGAATATACAAGAAATAATTCCATTTTATTTTTTATAAAAATGTGCATACATGAATTAGAGAACATAGAATAATACAATCTAAAATCCATAGTACAAATACTTTGATTTCTATAGTAAAAACTTTGATGCTATAATAGTAAACTATAGTTAACTATAGTAAGCTAAAGTTTAATATATTATTTTTGGTTATGGTTAAGACTTCATTAAAGCTTTTAAGTATAAAAGCATTAAACAATTACACTGATCATATCTATCATTATTATGATTAGCGAAAATGCATTTTTTGAAAGTAATGAATGATTTTCATGTCGTCTTGTGAAAATAATTGCAGGTGTTCCTGTACAAGAAAGTCAAAGACAACTTACATCGCTTACGAGACAAGAGAATGCTCCTCAGGAAACTCAATCCCTTATTGATCGACCTACTTTCAGATCTTTTTCAAGTCATTTATTTTCACCTAGAGCTATTCCGAAAATGCACAAGATCTTTACAGACAGAAAAGAAACTGAGTTCGTATCTCAATGCCACTGCTCAGGTATCGTTTTGGATAAAATGCAGACATTAAGGGGAATTCCACTTGCTGACCTTACAACTACAATCTTAGACGTTGTTGCATTTAAAATAACTTTTAAAGGATATCTAAGTTACCCTAACGTCAAACGCTTTAGACGTACGTCAGTACCTAATCATGCGAATGAAACGGTTGCTGGGACTGATCAAGAGATTGACTGTTATTCCGATGTACATACACTTTTTAATGATGCAAGGATTTACACATATGAAAAACTTTGTAATAGAATAAGGCATGCGGGTCAGAAAAAAGATATCAATTCTATTAAGTTCCATTTGATGCTTGCAAGAGAAAACGAAGTAAAAGGTCTATGTGAAATTTTATGCATGGAAAATTCCGATCAAGAAATTAGACATACACTGAAGGGCTTTTTAAAAAGAGAATTTTACAAAAAGTACAAAGAAAAGTTCAAAGTTTTGAAAATATGGTTAGGAAATAAAGTACCCAATGATTATAGATTTACATATAAGCAATTTACCCCAGAAAACTTGCGCTTCGATACTGTAGTCTTTAATGTGGAACAAAATACGCAGCCAGTCACAGACAGATCCTTTTGCGAATTTCATCTTGTAATAGTATCAAAAAATGATTGCAGTACAGAAGCAGAGAGATTACTTCAATATGAGTCACAGGAACCTACTGAAACAGCCGTGTTTTTGTCCGAATACGAAATATCAGACTTAATGAATAAGCACAGTAACATCACTATGATTAATTTTTCTAGGATTCATTCATATGGTTATAATTCGCAAAACTTTCATTTACAAAGAACTCCAACCATTGTAATTTACTGTCAAGTGAAAGGTGTGATACCATTGGGCGAACCAATGTTCCCGGAGGAAATAAATGGTTTCACAGTTGATGTGAGAGAAGGAATATGTGCATTCGCTATGGAAAAAATTCGAATAAGTGAACAAATCTCTGCAGAAGAATGCACTAAATCAGGGACACTTGGAGGATTTATTGACATTCAACGTGGTAAGTCATTCTTAACATGTGCACACGTTGTTCTACCAACAAATGTATTGAAAAGCAATAGGGCAAGTGATTATGTCCAAAGAAGGGAAATAAGGGTGTTTGATAAAGAAATGAGAGAAATTGGCAGACTTACAAAGGCAGTTTTTAATCATGGACAAGCCGCAGAAGTTAGTATTGATGCAGTCATCGTTGAGATCACAGACACCCGTAGATATCCTTGTGATGGAAATTTTGCTGACGTCTTTTCAGTTAATCAATTAAACGGAGCAGGTGAGTAAATTAAAAAAAAAAATGTAAAAAAAAACTCTTAGATCCGCTTATGTTCAAATACGCAAACAATAAATATTTAGAATATGCGATTTAATCCATCGAAATTTTACTTTAAGTTTTTTTTAACATTTAGTCACTGTCCTCGAAGACGTATGAAACGGAATTGAATAATATTTGATGTCTTCAAAATCGATATGTTAACAATATCATTAATTTGTACTACTAGATTCATGTTCTGTATATTAGGGTATTATTTGACTCAAGCACATCCAATGATTAGCACAAAAGATGTCAAAGGAGAAAAAAAATATATATGCAGTTACTGTAAAACCGTCCGTAACACGATTACCAATCGGATAATAATTTGAAAATGCCTCCCATCACCATATTATTTTTTTTTTAAAATGTGATCAACATATTATCATATGCAAAACATTAGTTTTGTCGATATGTGCAGTGTCACTTCCTTTGAACAAATAGAACGCATATTCCCTTATTCTAAAATAATTATACCTATATACGGAACACTCTTATTCACGTAAAGTGCAAAGCATTCTCCACCTCTTCCTTTCGCACACTTTATTAATTAAAAATTTTGCTGCTTTACACTTATCGGTAGTTTGCTAACAATTATTTGAGTATCGAAAGAGTTCGTCAATGCATTATTTTTTTCTTCCTTTTAATAGTTCCACTTTTTTTTTTTTATTTTATATTCAAATTAATTGTGTTCATTGTTGAGACAATTTAGAATTTATTGTCATGATATGTGTATAATTAAAAGAGGAATGACAAAACTCTATGCATTTTTCAATGGTATTTCGTACATGTACTTCCTATTATTTCGACCCCTCTTCGATATCAGGCCTAAGATATCAGTTATCTATTGTAAGTTACCAAAATGTATTATCGTATTTTGTTTGGATAGATATTTATTTTGTCCTGAATCATTCAAATATATTGGTACTCAAAGAAAGGTCTTTTCACAAGGAATTCACATGTGGAGTACATGTATGAATGCCCTAGCTGTATGCCCCCGATTCTTCTATTATGGGGACATAAAAACAAAAGATTATCAAAAGCAGAACAGATGTATATTGTAAGTTACACATGGGCATAATCTCAAAAAGCTCCTGCTTTCGAGCGATGTAGCAAAGGGGATGATATCGAGTACCCTGCACAATTCTATGGTAGTACTTATTCACTCTCTGAATTTGCATAGAATAGTTGTGTACAAGATACTCCAAAAAATAATACATTTTGTACTCTTCGGCAGGTTTCTCGAGTGCTCAAGGACCCCATTTTTCGAATGGTCAAATTGAACAGATCTCTACATTCAATTTTCGGAAACAAGTTATAAAAATTGGTGCCTCTAGTGGAATAACCCTAGGTTGGTTGAGAACAGGAAGAAGTTGTGCTCAAATTATCGACGACTACGATATTGATATCGATGGATTATTCCGAATTCGACTTTTTGGACAGTTAGAGGTTCTGCCAAGAATAGATCCATCCCAGTCGTCTGATTCACATCAACCTTTTGTAAGAAGTGGAGATTCCGGTGCTCTGGTTTTTTCCATTTGTAATGATAATCCCATTGTTTTAAAATGTATAGGAATAGTTGTGGCTATGACGTCATATGGAGCATGCCTCATGACGCCGATAGACAAAGTCCTTGATGCTCTTGATCTTAAATATGACTGTTTCTCGAAATTTTCTGTACCAAGCAGCAGTCAACAAACTGACTCGGAAGACCTTCGGAGTTTACTTTGGTCGATAACCCAGCAGCTTACTGTAGTGCAGTCAAACATGGCTACAAAAGGTGACATTCAAAATACAAATGCAAATATTGGAAATCTAAAAAGTGATTTAGAAAAATTCAATGACAGGTTAACAATGGCAGAAGAGGAAATTCAAAAGACAAGAGGAGCTGAAGGGAATGACGACAGTCATTAAATATGTCGAATATGTTACAAAGAGGATCTGCGCAAACTGAATCTTAAAAACCGTCCAATACAATAATAATACCGTTACCAACACAGATTGAAGAATAAAATTGTAGTACTATATTAATTTATGTGTAAAGAATGACATGAACCTTTTTTAATAAGAAACTTATTGAAATTACCATATAGCATAGAAAATAAAAAGAAATATTTTGACATTGAATCCTATTGTTCTATATTGAATAAAAATTTCACAGACATAAAATGTCCTTTTAATGGACTTTTGCGAGAAGCGCTGACTTTTACACTCGACGGCTTACTTTGACATTTAAACATGTGTCATGTACGGAGGTACGGACTTGATATTAGATTAGAAAACCTTACTAGTGGTCATAGGTATGGTGTTAGGGGCACCTTCATGATTTACTTGTATGCAATGAACGCAAGAGATGATGAGAGGTGGAATAACATAACTTAAAATACCTTATTCGTGAGGGATAGTATTTCCTTTCTATCTTATTTTATGAAGGAATCAAATAAGGAAGAAAAAACGATCCGGAATGAAAACTTGGCATTAGTTGATCAAATGGGAAGGGAGGGGGGTTAGTATAGGGTGTTTCTCCTTCCCTAGACAACGTAATATTTGATTTGAAATGCCCAATTATTATCGTTTAATTAATTGTTAAGCTAAATATTTATATCGCAAAAGAGCTGCCGTATATTGTCCCAGTGTAAAAGTAAGTCGTCGATTGTAAAAGTCAGCACTTCTCGCAAAAGTCCGATAAGGATACTGCATCGAAGTCATTTCCTCCAACCAGAATATATGGGAAATCATATTCAAACTACATAACTTCTTTAAATAACAGGAAAATAAAGTATATCATTTAAATTTTTAAAATGTACATGTGGCAAAATGAAAGCACAAAGTTTTTTTTTTTTGTATGAGTTATAACAATCAGAAGCAATGGACTAATTTTGCAAGGTACGTAATAGGGTGTGTTTGTAAAAGATATTTGTTTACAGCTAATTATAAACGTCAGTAACTTTTCTTCTGTTTTCACAAATTTTTTTAATTGTTACAGCTGCAAATGGGGAAAACTTCTCATGTTCACATCACGTATGTATTGACATATAAATCTTCATACTTCCATCATTATTATTTTTATTGCAAGTGCTTCGCCACCAAAAACTCAAACACTTTCATTATATATATATATATATATATATATATATATATATATATATATATATATATATATATATATATATATATATATATATTCAACCATTGTAAATGTTTTATTTCCATTCGCCAAAATGACAAACTACAATCGCAAGCTATACGAAATAAATCTTTTGTCTCCCCTTCATGTCCTTCTAGATGTTAGAAAACTGTCGGTCATTTTTACCGAAATTTAGACTAAGGTTAATCGCTTTAAATCTTAATTTGACAGCGTAAACTTTATTATTTGCTATTAAGATCAAAAGCGTCATAACATTTATGCCAATACGTAATATTGTTAAAGTGCAGACACGGAAGTTTTGAAAAGGGAAGAGAATTTCGATATTAGAAATAGATAATGTTTTTAACTATTCGATCTACAATCGATAAAAAATGAGACGTGTTCTATCTGAGATCTCAAACATCCAAAAACAATATCTAAAAACTTTTATATCAACATGTACAAACTAGCAAGGTTGATTTGATGACAGCCCGGTTATATTCACTCAGCCCAGGACAATGTAAAAGGTCAAAACAGCTGTGATAGAACAAAATACTTTAAAAAAAATAAATTTGTGAGAAAATATCGGCATATGTATATTGAACTACCTTAAATATTGTCATTGGGTTTTTAGAAATCCTTTCATATCTCCAATTTTCTTTAGAAGCAGCAGGACACAAATCTTGCTATCTTAATTCTTCTTCATCTTCACCCCTCTACAATTCGGCTAATTCAGAAAAATGTAAGTTATAACGACCTTTATAAAGTCCAGTTATGTCTTGAATGAAAAGAAACTTTTAAATACATTTTTTAAGTCTTTAGATCCTCGTGTCTTTGCGATATTATGCTAATGGGTGTTTTCTTGGAAACGTTAGATACATATTGAAAAACTTTTACAGGAGAAGAAAACACTTGCCGTGGCCTTCAATTCGATATTCATATATATCGACGGCGATCTATGAATTAACAATAGTTAATTCATATTTCGTTTCGAATTATCCCAGTGAAGATGAAACGAACAAGAAAAGTCCACCACAACTTTTATATTTGGATTTTTTTTACTGACTAGACGATAAGGGCAAACCTATCACTAAAATGCATTGCAAATGAGAAGACTTCAATTTATCATCAACAGTTTTATTCGAATTAGTTTACTGCACATTAATGCCCTGTTCACACGGAGAGTTTAATTCGCAGTATATTAATGCAAAGTAAAATAATGCGAATCAAGCTATTGCGAATTAAATTGCGTTCACACGACAGCCAATGTGAAGTAAACTAATGCGAATTAAAATTTTATTTCTACAGTAGGGCTATTCAGCAAGGCTATTATGACGTCATTTTCAAATCACGTCACCTTATGCAGAGCAGATCCATTTGACATATAATGTCATAGTTTCAGTGATTAACATAATTTTCCTTTGTTTTTCACTAAAAAATAGCAGAAGTACCTATATCTGAAGACTGACATGTGGCATGTGACTTAATTTAGCATTACGCATGCGTCAGAATTTAATTCGAATTAGCCCCACTTAGTGTTCACACGGAGCTAATGCGAAGTAATTTAATGTGCTGGAAATTAATTCGAATTAAATAAGTTCGCATTAAATTCCCTGTGTGAAGGCAGTTCCAATTTGATACGAAGTAAGTTGAGTTTCATTCGAACTAAACTCCCCGTGTGAACAGGGCATAAATTACTTAGCATTATCTCCGTGTGAACGCTAAGCGAAGCTAAATAAATTCCAAATAAATTTTGACGCATGCATAAGGGCAGAATTAAGTCACAGGACACATGTCGATGGTCAAATATAGGTGCTTGTGCTATTTTATTAGTGGAAAACAGAGGAATATGATGTTAATCACTAAAATGTGTACAGACACTATGACATGTGAAATGTATGTATGCTCTGCACAATATGACGTGATTGTAAATGACGTCATGATAGCCTCACTGAATAACCTTGTTGTAGAAATAAAATTTATTTCGCATTAGTTTATTTTGCATTTGCTGTCGTGTGAACGCAATTTAATTTCGCATTAGTTTAATTCGCATAATTTTACGTCGCATTAATTTAGTGTGAATTAAACTCTCCGTGTGAACAGGGCATTATTTATGTATTAATATTTCTGCTATCACCTGCATGTGGTGTTAACGTCTCCCAACTTATTTGATACTCAAGCTTTTAAGAGCATACTCTGAGTACGGCCAGTTTGGAAACCGAGGCAGGCTACTGAAAGGTAAGTAGATGTTACAGAGATTTCAACAAAATCGTTTAAAATCAGCTTTTCGTAAATTCTTTGGTCGTTTTAATGACCTTGTTAACAAATATATCCTTTCAATATTGCGTCTTATTTTGGCTGACGTATTTCATCCAATTGCGTGTTAGGCATTTGTTTTTATACTAAATTTGACATGGAATGCTCTTTCTACCTAATCAATACATAGGGCTCATGGCGGATGTGACTGGTCAACAGGGGATGCCTTTTTTTTTTCTAGGAATCTGATCCCACCTCTACAATTTCCGGGCGTCCGTGTTTTTATGTCATGTTCACAAATTTGTATTTTTTTTTTTTTTTTTGTTTTGTTTTTGTTTTGTTTGTTTGTTTTGTTTTGTTTTTTTTTTTTTTGAGATCACTGCTCATTATCTTAACCTTTTCAAATATTCCGTTGGATTTGCAGAAGACTATAGTCTGGAGAGCACTCCGCAATGTTTCCCAAGCCTTAGTTTCCTATACTACCCGATTTTTCAAGTTTTATCCATTTGTGAAGTCCAAACACCTGATAGGAGGGTTTATCCAAAAGTAACCTCACATTGGCTGTAAAATCTTTTATAACCGAATGTTATCAACAAAGTTTTATGCACTTATATCCCTGTCTTACTTGATCTTTTGTCTTAAAATTTCGTTAAAATATATTTAATACTTTTAAAAAATATCAAAATAACCAAGATTATATTTTGGTTATGTATATCGCTGCCTAGCAAAATGTTATGATATTGCTCTTTGGAACACATCTGCAAATATTTATTCCTTTCACATGCTTCCTTTTATGAACCTTTACTGTCATTTCGCTATAAAGAGTCTTGTTTTCAAGTGTATTTTTTTCAAACCTTGTCCAAATATTTATTTCTATATTCATTCCCCTTGTGTAGATGAGATATGATAATAACGAACAGTACTCAGGCTCAAAAGTCCATTGAAACAATACACATTGAGAGCAGAGCAAACACGAACCTCTAAAACAAATAAGCAATGAGATCAGGTGTCAAGGAGCTAGAGTACGTAAGAATCGGAAAATACGTAGAAAATCTAGATATCACGAGAACTTAACGGAACTCTTTCGCGGTGGAGGTAGTAAACGTCTGTAACCTTGGGGCAATGTGCTATTGAAAAAAACGCGGGATCAATCATTGGGGAATATGTTAAGGACAGATAATCAATAAGTGCTCGTGAAATACTTTTGGTTGACGAAAGAGGTTTTTTTCACATGCTCCATGATGAAATGACAACGGAGAGAGTCATTGGTATAAATCTTTAAGATGTAGTTAATAGGCATTGGAACATGGTTATTTTGTATTCGTAAGTAATGATCTGCATGTTAAGATTTCATGTACATGTTATTTCAGGAACAGTTGCAGTACTTCACAAACTGCTATTATATTCCGGGAGTCACTTGTGGATGGGATCAAGACTTGGGCATTGTTTGGAATACCAAAACCAAAAAGGTAAAACGACTTTTTATCATACTTGGTAAATATAAATGTTAATTTTGTTCCCGATCAAAACAGTCCTGAAGATGAAGTAATAATCCAATTAATATGAAAAGGAAAATGAACAACAAAGAGCTAAGTTTACTTTATCCATAAGATTGCCCTTCCCATATTCCAAGTAACTGCCAAGGACCCAATTTTCCATTTCAAAAATCAGTGAAAGTAGAGGCTAAGTGCTTTAATTTCCTATAAAATGTTTCCTCTGAGAGTCCAGGTATTAAAA